CTGTTCAAACTGGAAAATAACAGCCCCTAGCCAAGTTCTCCTTGAATCCCACTTTGCTTTAATTCTCAATTTGCCAGCCTATGTGAACGTGTAGCTTAAACATATGAGGTGCCCTTTCCTGTTTTTGCGTTCCATGTGATGTTTGTGTGACGTAGTTTTGGTCAGAGGAACTTTGAATGCAATTTTTGCCCTATAAACATGAGGATCTACCACAAGATTCCTTTAATTGAACTTACGTGCTTAGTGGTCTTTGATTAAATCCTAACGACACAGCTGAAGGAAAAGTTTTTATTTTTTCACCTTGGTGGTTCATAAGTACCCGTGGTTTGTCGCCCTCTCTCTTTCTGCAAGCGGTGCTAGAACATGAAAAGATGATTTTTCGGCAGCACTTGTACTCTAGAACTCGTCATCATCCAGGCGTAGCGAGGCCTGAGTTGCAACTTTCAAACAAGGTTCTGAGCTAACACGGTTACCGCTCAATCTCAACTCTTACTCAGAACTGCATCGACTTTTGTGTAGGGCATCTAAACACCTCAGCCGGCCACCGGCGAAGAGGGCAGTTCATACCCTTTTGATGCTGAAAAAGAATGACTGGTGTGTCTGTCCCGCCCTCTAGTACTATATGAGCATTCTCTGGTGACAGACTTACCCTTTTCTCCTAGAAGTTACATAGTAAGAATCAGTTCCGTAATACTTTTGCTCTTTAAGCAAACAAAGTTTACTCGTAAGTGCGACTTGCAACGTGATGTCTTTTGTTACTTGGACTAACTTATTTTATTTGCATTATGCGCATTCACAGCCACCCTTACACAAAACCTTCCTATTTAGTTAGACAGGACGAGATCAACTTTGTACCCAGCTGGTTACTTTTACCCAAGCTATTTAATTTCTGGAGCAGCTGTGCGACACCTTGAGAAGCAATTTTAAAAAAATCTTTGACCCTCGTGGGTGACCAGCATTTGATTTCTCCTTACAATATCACCCCTAAATAGAACATTACGTTCAAGAGAAGAAAGGAAATGATTACCATCTCAAGAAGCTCTTGATTGTTAAACAAGTAATCACTGTCAGTTTCGTAGGAAACGTGTAGAGAACAGTATTGAGAATATGCATACTGATGTTACTTTGAAAAGGGTTAAATCGTACAACATGTGGAGTTTACACACACGAAGTTTCCTGGTACCCTTCCCACCCCTTCGTTCCACTGGCGTGCCGTGGTGCGTGTCGGCAACATACTTCGATTCATCAATTATTCACAAGATCAATGTCCTTTTGTCAGTAAAATTCGTGGGAGTAGCTCTTTTTTACGTGAGCCTCGAACTCAAGTGTGATATGTACTGAGCAAGCGTTACAGCGAATCGATTGTAGGATCTCTTCTTGGAGTCTTGTGCATATTTATCGTCAATGTCGCTCTTAGCCGATCACAAGTTGTTTTTGGGAGCCGTGGGGATCGCATTGACTTCTGCGGTGGCCGGTTTTGGTGTTAGTCGGATATTAGAACGTCGAAATAAAAGCCTCTTTAAAATCAGCGAAGAGAACAATCCAGTCAGCAAGTATGTAACAGAACATGGAATCCGCGAACCATCAGTGCTTACCAGCTTGAGAAAGGTTAGAATCAATCGTAAAGCTCATTCGGTGGGTTTCCTTTAATTTTCCAGTCTTTTCACTATTATTTGCCTAGAAGTTTCTGGTCTTTAATGTGGATTCGTCGTCTTGACCATTGCATAATACGAAGAGGCAAACAATAACGGACCCTATAAATTGATTTCCGACATGCAAATTAATTTTTCGATGAGGAAAATACCCTGACTGAAATTTGAACGGTATGCTACTCCATATAATCATGACATGCTTTCTCGTGGCGTACATTGGCGTTCTCAGCTACATACGGTTATGTTTATCGTCTTGATTGATCTGATAAGTCATTACTTTGACATGATTGGAGAATTTGGTGATCAAGGAGGAAAGGTCGAAACTGATACACTTTAATGGGATGAATGCCTGATCGAAGGAGGCCTACATTGGGAATTCATGTATTTTATTAATAGAAGTTTTTGTGTGGATTATCGCTTATTATTATCTAAATGCACATAGAAGAGTACAAATAACGCGCGAATAGAGTAAAAATATCCAGCAATATTGTACTTTTATTTGGAAAGTTGGTTATTTTGTACAGCTTACTGTAATTTGCTAAACGAAACGAAACGAAGTGAAAATCTGTAATTTGCGAAGTGAAAATATGCTAATAATTTGCAAAATCTGCATGGTTTACTTTGCGAAATCTCCTCTACGTTCCTGAATAACTTATGCATCGTTTAGGCCATAGAGCGCAAAAGTAGTTTGAAATGTTAGTTGATGCTGTTACTGTACTTTCTATAAGGGGTAATCAATGTACGTTTTTGATGAATAATTCAAATGCATGATATTTCACTTACCTGTAGATCTTAGTATGCTAATGACTCAAATCATTACCATATTTTCATTTTGCAAATTACAGATTTTCATTTTGTTTCATTTCCTTTCGTTTTGTTTTGTTTCGTTTCGTTTCTCAAATTACAGTAAGCCCTTTGTACTGTAAAAGAAACTCTGTTTAACCAGCGGGCTGCATGTGCCACACTACTCAATCCGCTTTGCTTTTCCCACCTTAGAAGAAATGAGCAGAAAGACTTAGCAGGAAAAAAAGCAGTTGGATAATAAATAACTAATTAGACGTTTTGGTGAGCAGTTTTGCTAACTATTTTATGAGTTGTGCCATATTTTGAGGAGCTCTAGGTGTAAAAATGCTCAGCGATACTACACAGCAATTGGGTGAAGGGCTACCACTCAAAACGTCAGCTTTTAAAACTCCTTATAGTGATCAATTTACTCTTTCAACTCAGTTGATAACACTGAATCACCCTGTTATACTCTCCCACCCACACAGCACCACAGTTTCTTTA